GTACTAGGTATTGATGTTCAAACGTAGGGATTGCATCAAGTTTAGAAAATGTTAATATCTGATCAAAATACACAAAGGGAGAGCACAAGTCCTAGGAAAGTGTATGAAACAATTGTTACACTTTGACAATTTTGATTGGGAAGGGTTTGGGGAAATACTGTTTTTCCGTACGATACTTTTAAATTAAGAAGGGAGAAGAGGCCAAAATTGATGTGGCAAGCTTTAAAGCTGCATCAATTCAAGTCTAAGCCAGAGACATCCTTTTAGAAGGGCATTTTTGTTTATTCACCATTCTGAGGACTCATATAAAATTAGGTTTTATGAATGCAAATGTCATATGGTTCTAAATATGGAGCATTAAGCTTTTGATGGATTGGAGTATATGAATTTTTATAAGAAGTTCGTAATGAAGAAAGAACTAGAAATTAAAGTAGTCCTCTAAATTAATTCTCTTAATTTTCTAAGCTTAATGGAGTGCAAAAAAAACATACAAATGATGAGAGTAAAGACAGACTCTATATGCCTTTTGTATATCTATCATATCTCATCTGACACAGGATGTGTGTGTGTGCATGAGTAACAATTGACATTAGTGACAGTGGCATAAAATTTTAGTGAAAGGGCTTGCTTCCACTAAAACCAGAAGTTCTTAAATATCATGTTTCAGCAGTTCAATGCCATGACAGATTTCTGGGTGAGCTTTATGCCATCTTTAATTTCCCACTTATGAGAAATGCCCCAGAACCTGTGAATATCTGGTAACTTTTAAAGATGAGAAGTGTATTGTTTGAGAGGGCCTCTTTTCTTACTGATTTGCCAGGAAAACTGGAAGCAATTAAATATTCCTGATTCTTTTTGTGACTTTACCTTGGCATTAAAAATGTGTGAGCTTCATGAGGAAAACAATATAGAGCATGTAATCCACTGTATATTATGCTTTCTTTCTAAATAGGTAGTAACCAGAAACTGCAAAGAAATGCTCTTTGTGATCAAAAGAAAGAAATTCCCTGATGTATCATTTCTATTTGAATTTATTATTTTGTGTAAATGCACTGCCTACACCTTGAAGTTGGTCATAAAATACTGATGATGTGGGTGAAGTGGAAAAGCAGGTTACATTTAAGTACATTACTTCTCAAATAGACCATGGATCCTGAGACTTTTAGTTAGGCCAAGGAGAGGAAGATAAAAAACAGTCATTGAGCAATTTTATTATGCATTTGTCTTTGCTTTAGATTTAATTCAGCACCCACTTAGATTGCTAGAACTTCACTAAAAAAGTGCTTCTTTATGCCTCTTCATATTTATTTGGTCTTTGATGGCTGTGTTTATGGAGAGCTTGCTTGGGAGGAGTTTCTTGGAGAGTGACATGGTTTGATGGGGACAAACATCAAGCACTTGGATGTCGTGACAAAAAAAGCCAGAGGGAAGAGTACTTCTCAGAATTTGGCGGGGGGAGGGGGTCCTAGACTAAAATGAAAGGATGGTAAATGTTAAGACTGTACTTTTGTATCTTCTAGGCCAGTCCAACCATTGGTCAGACAAAGCATGGAAGATATTCAATACTTTCCATTAAATATGGAATGAATTAACATCATATTATGTACACTTGATTGGGCAGTCACTTTCAGGATACATGATCATTTTGAGGATTTCTTTGAAGTTCTCATTTTTAATTTTTTAAATTTGAGAAAAATTCTTAAGAACATTTTCCCATAAGGAAAAACTTTGAAGTGCTAGGAGAAAAATGTGTCAGGTTTGTTTGTTTGTTTAAATATATGTATTTTTGCTAGCTTGGTAGAAGCATCTATGCACTTGGGAGGAAAGTTTGCTTTTCAACTAATGTTGGTAAAGCTCTTTTGTGAAACTGAAGGAGAATACACTTAGCAACAGGCTTGTACCATAATTGACAACTCAGTTGCGTAACTGACTGCTTAGTAAACACCTTCACTATCCTGGCATAGGAAAGAGAGGGGCAGTTCTGTTACATAAAAGCAATAGGGTACATACTATCCTAAAAATAATAATTAAAAAAAAAAATCTATTTGCAGTGTAGGAGGATGAAGGTTTTTTCTAACAACTTTGGCCTTTATATGTGCCTTGGGGGAGGAAGGTGTTCGTGGAGCTTCGTGGGAACCTTTGGGGCTGATTGGGAACTGAAGTATATCCTGCCTTTCTTGCTGACCACAAAAACACATCTTAAGATAGTGAAAGAAAACTTCCTCAGACTTTTAAAATACAATGTAGTTGCCTATGCTATAAATTGCAAATCAGAGTATGAAGAGTAACTCCTCCCCTCAGTTTACATCCTCCTGAGTGCAGCAGGGGAGGGGAGGGAAGCAGGGCTCTGTCCCTGGTTCCTTAGCAACTCTGGTGTGGTTTAGGGGTTTTCTGAATTTATCTATCTTTTTATAAAGTAGGGTGATCTGGGGCAATGTCCAAACAGTAAGAAATGACAAATAACCCTTGGGGCATGTAGCACCACCCCTTGCTTTGGTGGAAAAGTTTGGTGTGTGCTTGTGCAATACTTAATTATCCTATTTCACATGATCATACAGAGCTGAAATTTGCACTAACTTGTGAGTATTTGCTCAGGTTTTGTTACGTTACAAGACAAATGACACTTTATATATACTGATATTATATTAAAGTCTACTTAATGCTTTAAGATGTTAGGCAATTTTTCAGTTGGCACCTACATACTACAGACAACAGTGAGCCTGCTGACGAGCATGATGAACGACTTTTGTAATTTTTTCAGTATAAACTTATGCTTTGATTTACAATACTAATTTGTGCAGCTTTTGACAAGCACCAAGTATTATTCTGTACCTATGAATATCGCTTGTATTATTTAAACAGCCTGCTTTAAAAAAAAAAAGATTTCAAAAGTGTGGTTTTTTTTCCTTTCTGCATAAATGTTCTATTAAAAACATTTGTGGTTTAAGATTTAAATAATTTTTTTTTCTTTTAATAGGTGAATGTCTATGTGCTGGGAAAAACTTTCCTTCTGTTGGCCAGAGAACTCTGCATAAATGCTCCAGCCATAGGTATTTTTTTATGAATTGACTTTTGAGTATTTTGGTATATTTTCTGCATGGTTACTTTAAAAGAATATATATGTATGTGTGTATATATACATAGTATTGTGTGCTAAATATCAAACTGGTAACTTAAAAATGAAGCTGGAATCAGTCCAGGCTGAAGAGCAATGCTGACCGTGAGAGCCTGTTCTCCTTTATATAAGACTTTTTTGGGAGCTAGATGCTATTTTCTTTTACAAATAATTTTGTTGTTTTTTCTGAGTGTAGTTCAGGCAATGGGCTGATGTATAATAAGTTTGTGTGCGTCTACAAGTTTGCACAGGCCTGTCACACTTCAGTTCCACAGAGATGCAACATTTGATAAATATTTGCCAAATTTACTATCTGTCCATCACCAATAGCTGAGGCGTTCAGTGCTTGAAATACAAGTGGCTTGATGGAAAATGAAGAGCAACTTTTTCCAAGCTTTTTAATTGGTAAGTCATCACTGAAATTGTAACACAGTGATAGGAAGATGGGTTTTAACCTGTTAAAGGGTAAAAAAAGCTGTTGTCTGGGCTGTAGCCTTTTAAGCCAAGGGAATTCACGCCAATTCCAGTTAAAAGAGTGAGTTTATAGACAGGTCTTGTGACTGTTACCCACCTCTGTGCAGGAATTTTCTTCCTGTATCTTTACCCACTCTCACTCCCACTCTCCTTAATCTGTACCGAGAGAATCAGATGCCTTTTGTGTTCAAGAACACCACACATGCGCAGCCCTTCAGATGTACTCAGCCGGGCACATAACTGCCTGCCTTTCCAGCAAGTAGAACCAGCAGCTCGCATACGAAGCATCGTCATAAGGGCATCCAGGTAGCATTTGGCAGTGCACAGCCATCAGCTGTCGTGGTGTGCTGGCTTTGTTAGCATAGCTTGATGTCTGGTAAAAAGGTCTTGCTTTCAATAATTTGGTTGCCTTCTTATTACTTTTTTTTACGAGAGAACAGGGAGAATTTGTATTGCAGCTTAGTTTCAAGGTGAAAATTAATGCAGCTTAGGAAAAGGTAAACAGAAAACCCTTCTAAATTAAGTGTAGAGGTACTTGTTATACATGGAAAAAAATATTGGTTTAGACTGCTGTTTGAGTATTCTTTCCAAGGTCATTGTAAGAGAGATTTATAAAAAACAGTAAGTATTTCTAATTGGCTTATCTGTAATGCTTGTCAGACACTTGAGAAAAACACCTACTTTTATCAGTCTTGGAGAAAAGTTAAGGGTACTAGCTGTAAAATGACTGCTGATAGTGGATGGGACTATGTTTTTAGAAAAAATAGAGGGGGAAGAAAGATCCAGCAGCTTTTGTTTAAGGTGGCTTATTTCTAATCAGTAATTTTGAGTGAACTTAAAGACCATGTTGCAAGTATTTCTCTAATGTCTGCTCCTGAATGTGAGGCTGGGATGTCTATTTAGATAGTGGTTGCCAGAATTACAGCTCTGGGCTAAATCTGCGATAAAGCCTGTCACTGCATTAAGCTTCATCTGTACGTCTTGACTCCGGCCATTCAAGTGGGGTACAGTTTGACAGGTGCAAGGGTCAGTGTTGCTGTTTGCTGGGCAGGCTGTGGCGGTTAATGCAGATGATGTGTGTGAATTGGCATTAGAGGCTTTCAAATATAGCTACAGGATGACTCTGGTCAACTTTGAACACACTCATGGTTTTTTTTCTCTTCAGCTCAGGCAACATGCAAAACCCCCTGAGCTTCCATGTATGTCAGGTCCCTTTTTTGTGAAGGAAAACGAAGGCTGCTGATGGATAGTCTCAGTTACCAGGCAAGGGAACCTTCCTATTTGCAGTGATAGCTAATGCCCTGTGTAGATGCACACAGGGGACAGACTACAGTATCATCACCCGTTAACTGTACTGTAGATTAATTAACAGACACAAGCCATAACATCAGCAATGATCAAGTACACAGGATTTAGGGCAAGTAAAAATGTTTTATATTTCACAGATTCATAAACTGCTCTAGTTTAGAACATTTCTGTTTAAGTCAGCTGCAGTCTGCAAGTTATCTATATACAAAATAAATGCACAGTACGTGCGAAATTTAACATTTTTCTGCTTGTTGCAGTCTTAATAATTAAGTCATAGCTTATGAATAAATAAAATAAGATTAAATTCAAGAGCATTCCTTCACTTATTTGTATAGCCTGATGTAGCAGATAGGTAAGTAGCGTAACATTCCATACTGCTGCAGAGTTCGTAGTAAAATTGAAAAATCCCTTAATGTGCATCGTTGCAGTATTGGAATACAATCAAGGTGAAATGCATCATGCATAGAAAATGAGCTCAGGTATTTGTCCTCCTTGTACTCCAGTTCCATTAGTACTGTCCGAGGAGCACTGGAACTGGAACGTCACTTTCCCGCACTGCACTTCAGTCATCCCCTCTTGCCCAAAGTAACTGAGTTCGTTACCATCAAGAATAGCACTTACATTGTAAAACGTGTCTTGCTCAACCTGCACAGGGTGTTCAAACCACACAGAGAAAGTGTTACTGGAGCCGTCGGAGGTAAACTTTGTCAGATTTTGAGCAAGGACAACACCTAAGCGCTTCAGTTCGATTTTGACGCTGTATTCAGCTTTGCCACAGCTCGACCCATACAATCCCAGTCCTGCTATAAATATCCGTTTGTCTACGGCAAACTGAATACTGTCACATCGCCCTCGGTACCTCCACTGATTGCTGCGATATGCAGACGACTGAAATCGATGGCATCGCTGAGGTATGAGTCCTTTTCTTTTTGTCAGCGGAAACTCTAGTTTGGGTTTATTCGCGGCCGTGTACCATAGGAATATGTTGTGAGTTTCCTCAAGGGTGAGGATGTCGGACTGGGCAGCTCCGTTGGCAAACTCTTCCAAAGTCATGGTCGGAATCCGCACCAAGTACAAAGCTTTTCCCAATACATTCCTCTTGTTGCGGGGCGTAACCGGGAGCCCTTGCCTTTTGCATTCAGCCTCTGCCCAGTTGAGAACGGCCTCGAAAACTACCACTTCCTTGGTGTTGAGCGCCTCCCGGGTTACAATGATCTCTAGTGTTTGTTGGTCTATCTCACAGAAGCCCTCTGACTTCAGTGCCATTTCTGCTTGAGCATCAATCACTTCCCAGCAGCGCTGCGTCAGCTCTGGCTCCTCAAAGAGCCTGCTCTGAGACAGCAGGACACAAGCGTTCTTCGCTTCTAAACTGGTCTCCAGAAAATTGACACAAGCCTTTGCTAGGGCCGGCACAATGTACTTCTTGGCAGCGTACAGCGTAGCCAGAACTGTGTCAGCTTCCAGGTCTATTTCGTCACTATACATGTATCTAGATGGGAAAAAAAAATAAGTTTCTTAGGGGAAAAAAAAATATAGGCTGTGAAAGATTGATCTCTAGTCATCTTTGCTGGCAGTGAATCTGACATTCAGTATTTGTCAGCACACTAAGTAAACAGTAATAAGTGCATATTGCACAATGCCAATTAGGAGATGTGTATTTTACAAGCTACTTTGATTCTGTCCATGTAATTAGTAGACTCATAGTGGCCACTTACTTTAATAGGATTAGAAAGGCTGCAGGTTCCACATCTGGTATATGGATTTCAGATTTGACCTCTGCGAGATCGCCATAAAACATAGCGTAGAAGACAGAGCTACCAACTGCCAAAACATACTGGAAAATAAAGAGAGAAGCCTCAGTAACGTGTACCAGTAATAACCGAGCGTGCTGGCTTTCGGTAAGAGCTACGCTTAGGGAAAGTTAAAAGCTACAGTGCAGTCAGAAGACTGCCTTAGACTGTTCCCTTTAATTGCAGTGTATGTGAATTACTTCTGGGATTAGACGTCATTAGAGGAGGAAAAAAAAAAATGGAACCCAGTGGTAAGGCAGGGGGAGAAGGCGATATGCGCAGCGGTATTAAAAAGCCAAAAATTATCTGCACAAACCTTATGGGCAGGAACTTTCTTGGATGCCCCCGGCGGGCCCACGATGAAGTGAACGTCAGCCATGAGTTCGTTATTGAACATCAGCGCGTTCCTGCAAGCCAGGGGAGGGGGGAGAAGATGGGTCCGGCGGGGCCTGGCCCTTACCTCTCCCGCAGGGTGGGATGGAAGGACTGCCAGTTGGCGCTCTCCAAGTTGTTGTTGTTGAGGTTTTGGAGCTGGGGCGGCGGGGGCGGCTGGGCGCTCTGCTGGAGCTGCAGGGCGTTCTTCTTGCTGTTGGCAGCGGTGGCGGCAGCGGCGTTACTGTTTGCGATGTTGGTGTTGGCGCTGGCAGGGTAAAGTTCTGCAGCCATCTTCTTCTTCAGGGACAGGGGCACTATCTCATAGCATCCTGGCACCTTGCCGTTTGGCCGCACACTCTTTTTGGACTTCTTTAAGGTCTCTGGAAGCAGAAGAAAAAAAGTCAAACACTTCATGATCCTGCCATTGAGGCAACCATGGGGCAGTGGCATGAGCAAGAGAACTAGCAAATCCCAAATGCGAGTCCCACTATTTGGATATTTTGTGTGCTTCTAGATGCAGGGCGGCTTTTTTTTTTGTTTGTTTGTTTATTTTTGGTGTGTGTGCGCGCTCTTTGGTTACAGCCCGACGCACCTTTCCGGGGGGAAAGGGACGATGCTCTATCGGATCGGTGCCAGCGCTCACCTTGGCTTGAAGCGGGGGCTCCCAGCCTCCACGGCACTGCCACGACGGCAGTGGGGAACCCGAGCGGGGCTGGCGGGCAGTTCCTTCCCCCGAGGAAAGAGGCGAGAAAAAGGAAAAAAGACCAAAAAAAGCCACAATCCAGCAACAGAACCCCACAAATCCAGCCGAGGCGGTCGGTCAGGAGCGAGAGTCAATCCACAAATGCTCCGAGTGCAGCAGCCCGGCGAGGGTGAAGCGCAGCCAGCCGCCCGATCCCCGCTGCCAGCGAACCGCGCTCCGCTCCGTCCTTCCCCGCCCGGCGGGGGCACATCCGCGGCGGCCGCGCCGGGCCGAGGCGAGGCGGCGGGCGCCCGCCGGCCCCCCCCCCGGGCGGCCCCGCGCCCGC